ACACACACACACACACACACACATACACACACACACACGTATATGTATATATACTTTTTTTTTTTTTACATTAAAATGTATATTTTACACTACATTTGGGGCTGTATTGAATAGAGGATTATAATGAACATTCCTCTATTCAATACGGTGGGACTCACTTCAGATCCCATATCCATGGAATTGGCTTTCAATCCCATTTCCCTTGAAACTGTAAATATTTCTCCGAGGTAAGTAAGCTCCCTCCACCACTCCTTTAAAACAGGCCAGCCCTACCAATCCTTGAAATCCAACCACCAACGTTTTGCAACATGGGATAATGGATTCCCCCATCCATTCTAGATCTCCCAAGAATTTCTCCAACCTGTATTTAATGCTTACCCACAATGACTCTTGCAAAGGTGCGATCTTCGATACCATCTTCAGAGTAGACCATGCTGACAAATGCCCGGTTGGCGGCTGGTTTCCCAACAGGAGCTCCATGAATCAAGTCTCTCAAAGTCTTTACTCTCAAGTTACTAGTCTTTTCACCAAGCACAAAGCTGATGGCATCCATGAGGTTTGACTTGCCTAGATGAAAGACAGCAAAGAGAGAGATATTTTAATATAAATGTGTTTTGTAAAACAATGGACTGTGATTTGAATCAGCACTTGCCAAGCCTTGGTATTATAATTTTATTTGATGCTCATCTTTTCAGAGTATTGTTTCTGAGCATGTGCAAATTATGAATTTCTCTCATGTAAAAAAAAATCTCCTTTGATTGAAAAGTAGGTATTTTTCCAAACGCTCCATGATTTCTTCATGTTTTACTCATATGAGTTGCTCAATCCAGCCAATAATTACTACCTCCATCAGGGTGAAGTGACTTTTTTTTCTTGAGCATCAGACGCAACTGATATTTTCCTCTTTGCTCCTACGCAATGATTGAAATCTTATAGTAAAAAATTAAATTTGCAATATTTAGGTGAATCCTCCATACACATACTGTATACACACATAAGAAAAAAACTTAAGTACTTTTCACCAATGTCAATACCACATTATGATAAATCTCATCCTTTTTTTCTTTATTGTCCTAGTTATTAGACGCCATCTGAGAAGGTTCAACTCCTAATGACTCCATGAACAAACGATTGCCAGTTCATCTTTTCTTCAGACCTATACTATCACATTTTAAATCCCAAGAAAGCTAAACATTTCCCACAGCTGCACAACAGGCAGAATCGCAGCAGGGACAACTTTATGCAATTAAATACACCACCTCCTGGGACTTGGTCCAACACACAATTTAAAAAAAAAACCCTCAATATCGATATTTTATGAATGTTCCCTTTACTTCTGAATCCCAAAATTCTTCTAATGTATACATTTGCTCACATCACATCCCTTGTTACTATAGCTATCTATTTGCCCAGTACCTGAAACAGGTAGGCAACTCCGTAAACAAGCAAGGATGAGCAATACTTTTAACACATCTGAAACAGCATTAAGTAGATTCATAAGCAGAGATTTCAAAGGTGTTTCCTAGGGCATCTTCACATGAGCATCTTTCAAATATAAAAATGTGCTCACAACTAAGACATATGCAAAAACAGAGGAGTGAGGTCTTGTGGAAGTGGAACATAAGGATAAAATTTACATTCAGATGAAAACCCAACCACTTTTTGACTCTATTACAGTGTATTTGTATACAGGTGAGTCATACAATACTGCTTCCTATTTAAAAGAAAAACACATCCCTACACAGATATTGTCACTCAGATTTTATCCTAAGCCTTCACCCTGCAATGCTAATTTTCTAAATTGTATGATGGATCATATGCTGCAGAGAAGTATTTAATCATACCTACTCCCTATCCCACAAAGGTTCATTACAAGTCCTTTTATACCCCAAATAATACTTTATTGAACTTGTACGCCACTGAACTCTCAGACTCTGGGTGGCACCGAACAATGAAATTACTAGGTATAAAATCAAAAAAGCAAAAAAACCAAGATATAAAGTCGCATGCCAGTTTTATCTACGTATTATTAGTGTTTATGTGGTAACGCTGCACAGTCAGTTGGGGTTAAGTTATAACAAATAATGTTGCCAAATTCCAGACCTTTTTAACCATGGAACACATAATTTATCATGTCGTGTGAATTGAGAGTGTGCAAATATAAAAATATACAGTTCAAATATACAAATCAAATATATACACAGGTAGCCCAAATACACAACTCACTGATCAAAGGGCTACACAGTAGTTATTATCCGTGTTCACTGGAAATTCTTCCCTTGCCCCCTTTTTCTGCAGCAAATCCCAACCAGGATAAACCATGCAATTTAGTGTAAGAAGCAGGCACCTCTCTGTGGCACACACACAGTGTGTGTGGGGTGTGTGTGTGTGTGTGTGTGTGTGTGTGTGTGTGTGTGTGTGTATCCAGGAGCTGACCATCTCTCTATATCAGGGATCTCCAACCTTGTCAACTTTAAGCCTGGCAGACTTCAACTCCCAGAATTCCCCAGCCAGCTTGTCAACTTTAAGCCTGGCGGACTTCAACTCCCAGAATTCCCCAGCCAGCTTGTCAACTTTAAGCCTGGCGGACTTCAACTCCCAGAATTCCCCAGCCAGCAAAGCTGGCTGGGGGACTCTGGGAGTTGAAGTCCGCCAGGCTTAAAGTTGACAAGGTTGGAGATCCGTGCTCTATATAGTTCTCACTGATGCCAGCCTGCCTTCAACCCGGGTCAAGCAGAACAGCGATTCATTCAGACATGCAAACACGCATCGCAGCCAGGCTTTGCTCTCGCCGAAGCCCACCGACCATAGCTTGTGCTGGGCAAAATTAAACGGGGTGTTTGCTTTCCCCTCACCCACCCAGCTTCCCACCCGCGATACGGGCTTCCTTGTCCCGCCCCAGCCGAGGTTTGCCTTACCAGATCCATTGGGCCCGATGATGGCCGTGAAGCGCCGGAAGGGCCCGATGATTTGCCGCCCCTTGTAGGATTTGAAGTTCTCGATCTCGATCAGTTTGAGGAACCCCATGTCGCGAAGGCCAGGAAGCGGGCAGGAGAGGCGAAGGGGGCGGCAAGCCCCGACACGCGAACCCGGGGCGACCTCGGCTGCCCGCTCGGATAAACCCCCCGCCACCCCGGGCCCCGTCCGCTCGAATCCCGCTTCCCACAAGGGCGGGCGGGCGAAAATCTCGCGAGAGCTCGCCGCTACGTTCTCAACCCCGCAAACCCGGGAGCGCTCCCGCTTCAGCCACGCCTCCTTCGAAATACCAGAGATTTGATTGGCTGTCCCCTCCTCGAGGCGCTAGAATATACCAAGCTGTTCTCGCCTACCCCTAGCGGTGGTCTCCGCCCAAAGGCGCGCTCGCTGATAGGCTTTTCACTTCTAAATTTGCATAAACCGACCTTCCGGTAGATCGACTACATCCGCTTGAAAAAGGGAGAGGCGGCGAAGCGGTTGCCATAGAAACGGGACATCAACACAACCTGCCGGAAGAAGATCGCGGGAGGCGGTTATATTTCAGTCCGTGCTCCCGGCTCCTAATTGCAGGTTATTTTAATTCGCAAACCGTCAGTTCGAAAGGATCGCAGACAGGCCTCCCCAGTGATCTTGTGTTACTAGGGATCCTCCTAACTCTGAACTAGCGCGGGTTTTCTCATAAGCAAAGGAAATCTCCCCCCTACCCTCCCCCCCCAACTCGATCGATTTGTCACTGGCACAGAATCCAGAGAAGTCGCTCGGTCGTTCGTTTACAGGGGATCTCTGAACGGCCGGTCAGACGTTTCTAACGTTTCTCGCAGCCTGTCCCGGGTGCCACGATGTATAAAGTGGACCTTCAGGCCGACCTGAGAGAGGCGGCTGCTGTTGAAGCCCGACGGAACCGGGAGAAGCAGAGACAGAGCCGCATCTTCAATGCCCGTTACCGTACAATAGGGGTAAGACACCCTGAGTGGGGTATTGGGAGACGGAATGGGACAACTGGCCACGGTCTACTCGCTCTGGTCACCTCAACACAGCAAACTCCCCGCGGGGCAATTTATCAATTCAATTTCATGATTTAAAATAATTTTTTATAGCAATAGCAGTTAAGACTTATATACCGCTTCATAGGGCTTTCAGCCCTCTCTAAGCGGTTTACAGAGCCAGCATATCGCCCCCACAGTCTGGGTCCTCATTTCACCCACCTCGGAAGGATGGAAGGCTGAGTCAACCTTGAGCCGGTGAGATTTGAACCGCTGAACTAGCAATAGCAGTTAGACTTATATACCGCTTCATAGGGCTTTCAGCCCTCTCTAAGCGGTTTACAGAGCCAGCATATCGCCCCCACAGTCTGGGTCCTCATTTCACCCACCTCGGAAGGATGGAAGGCTGAGTCAACCTTGAGCCGGTGAGATTTGAACCGCTGAACTAGCAATAGCAGTTAGACTTATATACCGCTTCATAGGGCTTTCAGCCCTCTCTAAGCGGTTTACAGAGCCAGCATATCGCCCCCACAGTCTGGGTCCTCATTTCACCCACCTCGGAAGGATGGAAGGCTGAGTCAACCTTGAGCCGGTGAGATTTGAACAGCCGAACTAGCAATAGCAGTTAGACTTATATACTGCTTCATAGGGCTTTCAGCCCTCTCTAAGCGGTTTACAGAGCCAGCATATCGCCCCCACAGTCTGGGTCCTCATTTCACCCACCTCGGAAGGATGGAAGGCTGAGTCAACTTTGAGCCGGTGAGATTTGAACAGCCGAACTAGCAATAGCAGTTAGACTTATATACTGCTTCATA